GGTTTGGGGGTGGGATGGCAGGGGTAGGGGAATGGTTGGACTGGGGGAGCTTGAAGGGCTTTCCCAACCCAAACCATTCCATGATTCCATGGTTCCAAACGGAATGGGGCAGGACCCGTTCTCAGGCCCCGAGGTTCACGAGCTCCTGTCTGCAGGAAATGGGAAGGAGGGGACCCGGGGGTGGCCAACCAGAAGACCCCCACCAGCCTCCTGCTGACGCCGGAGGGCACCTTCCACAGCTTCGGCTACACCGCCAGGGACTACTACCACGACCTGGACCCCGAGGAAGCCCGCGACTGGCTCTACTTCGAGAAGTTTAAGATGAAGATTCACAGCACCAGCGTGAGTCCCTGGTCCCCAGGGTCGGGGGGACAGACCCTGGCCGGGAGCTGAGCTGACCCCAGGGATTTATTTCCCTTGCAGAAAGCAAAAAGAGGGGGTCACCAGGGGGGAGGGAGAAATTTGGGAGGGTTGGAGAGGGGCTACAAGCAAAACCTCTGATGGCCAGCATCCCGACCGGGTGCAGCCAGCTCCGTTTGCTTCAGGCAGGCTTGGCACAAAGCGATGTTTTAGCCCTTTGCAGGGGGGTGAATCTTGCATTCCCCCCCATCCCAGTTGCTTCAGGGCAGGCCTGCCCTGAAGCAGCCACCCTGCCCAAGACGCGCCAACAGAGCCGGGATGGGATGCCGGCCACATCCCAGCACCCTGCATCATCTACTACTGCTCTTCGCGGCAGGACCTCACCCTGAAAACAGAACTAGAAGCCGTCAACGGGAAGAAAATGCAAGCGCTGGAGGTGTTCGCCCACGCACTCGGCTTCTTCAAGCAGCACGCCGTGCAGGTAGGGCCACCCCCACTCCGCTCTCCCTCCCCAACCGGGGCACCAGCGTCATCCTCTCCATGCGTTTTGCTTCCTCGCCCTTCATCGAGTGCCCCCGTGCCGCTTCTTGCCCCGTAGGAGCTGAAGGACCAGTGCCCATCGCTGCCGGAGAGGGACGCCATCCGCTGGGTCATCACCGTGCCTGCCATCTGGAAGCAGCCGGCCAAGCAGTTCATGCGGGAGGCAGCCTACAAGGTGACCCCCCCACGGGAGGCTCTGGACTCCCCCACACCCCATGGGTGCTGCCCCCATAACGCCCAGGATCATCCTGGTAGCCCAAGGAATAAGACCTGGCCTCTTGCCGTTGGCCATGGGTTGGCTTTGGAATCCTGGCGTTGGCCGGGCGGGAGGATTTTGGAGAGGGGCGTGCGGCAAGCAGGGAATTGGGGATGGGGGTGCCCCTTGGGTGCTCGGTGCCATTGCTGGGTCTGTGGGCGCCCCCCCTTACAGCATGGGGGGGTGCCTGGTGCGCAGCCGTAACCCGTGGGATTGCTGTGGGACGT